ATAGTTCTCTGATGATAGAAATTCTTCAAAATATCAGGCTGCCATGATGGCAGAAGAGCTGAAGAAAGAGCAGGACACCAGTGCTCATTTGGAGAGGATGAAGAAGAACCTGGAGGTGACAGTGAAGGACCTGCAGCACCGTCTGGATGAGGCTGAGAATCTGGCCATGAAGGGCGGCAAGAAGCAGCTCCAGAAAATGGAGGCTAGGGTAAGTGTCCTGAGGACCAACCTATTTACATTGCTGAAATCCAGCCTGGCTACCACATCCCAAATTTTCTAGATCAGCCCCTGAGCAGAGCATGACATGGAAGTGTTTGACACTGCAGTCAAGTCAGCTGTCATTTGTTTCTCTCTGGCCAAATGAGCCACATGTGAAATTAAAGTGTGCCCATACACCATTCTTTATGCTAGATGTTTAGAAACACATTGACTACGTCTGCTTTTCAAAATGAGACATTTGAGAAGGAAATTTAAAATGAATACAAATGCAATTAATCATTATAATCACAATTAATCGTTATACATGCAACTTTTAAATATCTGGCCATTTATATCTGGAAAATTTTCAGAAATTTTCATAGTAAATTTTCAGAAAATACTGTAAGCCTGGACAGTATTTTAAATCTTAAAATTACTGCATTCTTCTTCAATCAAGATTCGTGAATTGGAGGCTGAAGTTGATGCTGAACAGAGGCGCAGTGCTGATGCTATCAAGGGAGTGAGAAAATATGAGAGAAGAGTAAAGGAGCTCACATATCAGGTAAGTAGCTATTACTAATAACGTGCATTAACGGGTTCATGTATGTATTACAATGCACTGTCATCTCTGATTAACAGACTGAGGAGGATAAGAAAACTAATTTTAGACTTCAGGATCTAGTGGACAAGCTGCAGCTCAAAGTGAAATCCTACAAGCGACAGGCTGAGGAGTCTGTGAGTACACTTAATTCTCATTATGCACACAATATGAAAATATTACTCAGTCCACAAATTTTGACTTCTCATGGATATTACACAGGAGGAGCAGGCCAACACTCACCTGTCCAGGTACAGGAGGGTGCAGCATGAGATGGAGGAGGCTCAGGAGAGAGCTGACATCGCTGAGTCCCAGGTCAACAAGATGAGAGCAAAGAGTCGTGAAATTGTAAAAGTAAGTCATGCATACAATTCAAGAGGCAAGCTAGTAAGGAGGTCATTTGTGTGTAGAAATGTTCACCTCAGAAACTTTGGTTATCTGGCCAAATGTTTTACATGTCATTGTTATGTCATTTCAGACCAAGGAAGCAGAGTAAGGAAGAAATCAAGGCTGTACAGTAACAACAAGTCATATAATATGATTATCTTGTTACTTGTTTACTTTAGTATGTAAAGCATGCTGTGGTACCCTGAGTCAATAAAAGGCAGATAATTTGCTGCATCTTTTCGTGTCTGTCCCTTCATTTTCTAATGACAAATTTTATGATTGTATATTTCAAGCATTCAGGAGCTTACACTACAGTTCATTAGATAATTTAGACAAGGTAGATACACAAGTTATGAAATCGAATATAAGAATCAAATACGGTCAAATATAGCACTTGACACAATGTTATACAGACAATACCTACATAACCAATTAGAGCACAGACCTACAGGGTTTCCCCTGTAGATACATTGTCCCCTGGGCCCAAGTTGGTTCAAATTTATTGATTTACTAATCTTATAGGACTCAAAGAGTTTTAAAGAAGATTAAAACATTCATGTATTACACTTGCCTTCTACTAATTCATGCCCTCTAATCCTATGTTTTTTGTTAATAAAAATATTTAGTATGTAATCACATACATACTGTAGGCTATAGCCTACATACATAATTGGTATTTTGTATATAAGCATGTATTGATATATGATTTTAATTAAAACGGTCAACAAAATCACTTTAAATTAATGAAAGAAAAGAACTGGCTGCCCAGTACAATCTGACACACAAATATCTTTAATTTCCCAAACTACTGTATACACACATATATCTCATACTGACACAAAGTAGATACATATTCCATGGCCCCACACTCACCTCAGTATTAGGCCAAGGTACTGTAGTTTCAACTTGTAAAACTAAGTGTCACTCCAAAAGAAGAAATCACTAGGTGGTCTAGAAGCACCAAATTTCCAATATTACTACTTGGCAAATCAGCTACAGTATTTAGTCAAATGGATTCAGAAGGATAGTTACAACAGCGCATGGATAGAATTAGAGCAAAATTACTGTAAAAATAACTTAAATAACTCGGTTGCAGACCTCCCTTTTCTACCAAACTCTACTAAGCAAATGAATCACTGTAAGAACATCACAATCCTCTCAACTCTGACAGCCTGGTGGAAAGTAAACAAAATCACTAAATCATCACTTGCACTATGTGATACACTCCAATTTGGCACAACCCTGATTTCAAACTGCATAATAACTCTATCTATTCCCCAGCATGGCAACACAAAGGAATCACTCACCTACACCACCTATTTGAAAATAACCAGTTCATATCATTTAATACACTCCATAATTAAGTCAAAGATTAGTGTAACCAATAACCCACTACAGCCTTCCAAATTAATTGAAGAGATTATGAAAATTACAGATTCCAAGAAAATAATATCCAAGCTATATAAACTCATATCAAATACAGATTCACCAATAACAATACCAAAACTCAAATGGGAAAATTATTTAACTCTCTTCCACAACTCCGACTTCTGGACAGAAATTGGCCATAACATGTTTTCTATGACCAGCAATGAAACATAATAGATTCATACCTTTGCTTAGGGCACACTACTGAGTGGTATTTAAATATTAATCTACTAAAACCACCTTGGTTTGTTTTCAGGAGGGTTGGTATTTTGACCGCTTTAAAAGCATTGCCATCACAGACTCCATTAGACATACTATCTTAGGTTAACTCTTTAATTCCAAAGCACAGAAGGCTGAAAATTGTGGTGATTATTTGCTGTACCCTTCTCAATACCTGGTCAGTATAATATTTGAAATATTCAGACTGCAAAACTATTTACTCTTAATTAGAGCTGATTGATTAATCATTTTGAAATTAAAATTGCAATTTAACTGAATGTGACTTTCACTACATTTCAAGTAATCGACAACCAAGAGACAACGCTAATATTGGTGTCAAAGCAAAACAGGCTGCGTCACCAAATGTAACAAGCTGATTTTATTAGTAGTACTGTTATCATCATTAATTTTTATATTTTTTATTTACGTCCCCTCCTTTTCCCTTTCTTGCATCTCATAGACTGCATAAGTTGGAAATACCCACACTTCACACACTACAACCTCGTTAAACACTCTATATCCTGTTGTAATGTCATGTAACTGTTGTCTTGTCTCCCATGTTTGGTACTGTTTTGTTAATGTGTTGCTTTGTTTCAAAAGGCTACTCAATAAATGATGAAACTAAAAAAAAAAATTTAAAAACTTGTAAAACTAAGTGCCTACCTTGAAGAATTGTCTAAATTGTGGAACACATATGTTATTAAGCACTGCAGCTTATGATTATTTTCATTATTAATTAATCTACAGATTATTTTCTCAATCAATTAATCAGTTTGTCAAAAAATGTCAGATAATAGTGAAAGATATATTCTGTTTATATCTGTTTTGTCAAATTTGACAAAAAAAGAGGTTCACATTATTACTTGTAGTATTTGACTTTGCCAGTCTGGCAGTAATATTGTAGCAACACTGACAGCACTGGTTTACAATACTGTAAAACAGTATAACTCATTCTGAACGCTATGAGACTAACACAAGTATGAGAGCTCTGCTGAATGTTGTAATCTGCAACCTCACCGCAAGATGTCACAAAATCTCACATACTTCCCTTTTAAGAGCAGGCAGCTTAATGAGCAGATGTTATGAGCTAGCGCTAGCGTCAGCTCAAGCTAACTGTCTAAGATTAGCTAGGAGCTAAGGAAGCTTTACTGACCTACCCTTGTAAAGTTAGCAAACATGAGAAGTATTAGTAACTCTAGCTTTATTTTCGTATTGGAAACCTGAAACGCTTTGCTTAGTAAAGTTGGTTTTAAGGCTGCCTTCAGTTTTTCATTGTGTTTAGTTCATAAGTTTCGAGGTCACTGCTTGAACGGAAATAACGGTAACTTTAAATTAATCATTATCAACAACATTTATTTATTCAGGGAAAACCAGTTTATTGTAGATAAAAATTGCTGCTTGCGTCAACTGCCACCAGTGATACTCATTAAAACAAAATATGCTTCTATATAGAAATGAACGTTTGGGCTTAAGTTAAATGTTCTTCTCAAAGACAAAGAACTTAGCACCACAAACCAAACACTTACTGTTGTTTTGAAGACATTTCAAGGTCGTTCACACACTGTTCGCTTAATTTGGAACAAAAATATTCACCGCACTGCTTTGCAGATTTCATCCAAACCAACAAAGATGGCGTCTGGAAGGTTTTTTTTTTCTCTTTCGTTCTTTCTTTCTTTCTTTCTTTCTTTCTTTGGATGGGTTCCACAACCCAACCTGCACGGTGGGCGTGGTTTACGTTCTATTTAAATTCCGCAAACTAAACTTTTTAGCGTCATATTTACAGACATAAAGCAGTGAATTCCTAAAACCAAAGTGTTTTTCAAGATGTTAAATGAATATTGAGCTCCGGAGTTTGTATTAAATCATTCCATAAGGACGAGGCATCATATTTGGTTGCTGAATTTCTTCTGTTTTTTAAGATATTTTTCACTTTCTAAAAACCTGTAGTTGATGTCAATCTGCAGTACAGTTTGATAAGATCTGTGTGTGTGTGTGTGTGTGTGTGTGTGTGTGTGTGTGTGTGTGAAGACTTTAATGGGAGAAAGAGGGGAAGATGCGTACTACATGGAGAAGAAGTATGTGTTATTGGTTTAGGTCACCAGAGGTCAGTATTGCATTGTTGGCACACCGTTGCTTGCATCGTGCAGGCTCAGGCAATGGCGTGTAAGTATGGGATATACTGGTAAACACACAAATTTGATGTTCTTTTATGTTCCCAAAAATGACTTATTTTCCAGGATGAATATTGTCGTCAGTCATTGTTGGGTCATGGACCATGTTTCTGAGGTGAGTTCCGCCGTGTTTTCGGATGCGCAGTGCGCTTTGCTCCCGCTGCTGACTTGGACTATTGCAGCAGGACTGTCCGAGAGTGTAACGCTGGTGTCTACGAGACACTTCCACTGATAGCTGACTTATTACGACTTCATCGAATTGTTTCGCCATGGAACATCGGTGGTCTTTTGTCATTACGCAACGTCTTCTTTTCGACCTCTGCAGCGGAGGAACTGGTCTGAGCCCTCTTTAAAGATTTTTGTTTTTTATATATATAAAACTGCATTTACCGAGTAGCCTACATCTGCCACTTCTGAGAAAACAGCAAACGTAATTTTTTTTTGCCAATTAACCAGATGGACTCTGCTCCGGTGGAGGTATCAGCTTATTTTTGACTCTCACGGGGAAATGACTGACAACCAGGAAACCCCAGATGCTCAGGACACGACTCCGTCCGGGAGAGCGACCTTGCCGCTCCGGCCGCCTTGTGAGCGCCTTTCATGCCACAAGAGCAACGTGTGCTCCCGCTCCTATTTCGTAGTAGTAATGGTGTTTTTTCATGTATATATCATTAACGTTATAGCACTGCTGTTTTACGTGCACTACAGCAGCGGACAGGAACATGCGACCCAGAGTCGTGATGCTCCCAGCAGTAACCAGCGCCTTGAGTCTCGACGTCCGCCATCAAAACCTGTATTTCTGCGCGATGTTTCCCTCTCAAGAGTCGAGGGAATTAGAGTGAGTAACGTGAAGATGTTCTGTGTGCCCCCTCCCCCTTTCGCTGCGCCCCTCAAATCACCTCTGTTTTATGTCTAGGTGGGACATGTCCAGAGCCTGTCACTGGTGCCAGGGAAAGTGCATGAAATGCGGACTCTTAGTCTAAAACCTCTGCTGTTTGGTAAGAGCCAAAATGTGGCAAAAGTATTTACATGTTAAGGTTCAGCACACAGCCTTGTTTTTTCATCAAAACGTTCAAATACATTGACTAATATATGTGTGTGTATGCTAAGCTCAATCAAGGCCATTAAATCCTGTAGTACATTAGCTACTCCTCTCTGTAGCTTAATCTCAGTTTGTCTCTGTGTTTATTTCTGCAGAGATCCCTGGGTTTCTGTCCGAGGATGAGTGCCGGGTTGTGATGCAACTGGCACAGCTGAAGGGTCTAATGGAAAGTCAGCTAATGGTGCAAGAAGACCAGGAAGAACTGGCAAGGGAGCTCAACCTTAGCCCAGAGGAGATCTTCAACCTTCTTGATAACAACCAGGATGGGCAGTTGCAGATTCATGAGGTGTATGTCAGTTTGTGGATTGTGAGGACTAGTGTGTGACCAAGTTATTTCTTTGTTCAGAGCTGATGAACTCATCCTGTCTTTACTGTCACACCTCCAACAGATACTGACTCATTCTCGAGTGAGGGACGGCATCTGGCTCACACCTGAGAATCTTCGAGAAATCTACGCTGGGCTAAACGTTGACAAGGATGGCAATGGTAAGAAATCCACTTCATTGATCATTTTAGTTTTTAAACAAGATTATTAATTTTATTAGAGGAGTTACCAGTCTGTTACATACTCTTAAGCTGTTGTTAAAACACAAGACCAGGAAAGGTATACAGTAGGCCTACAGTATACACTGCCTTGAATATCTAGGGACAACCAACATTCATATTGGAAATTTCTACAGATTCTTCATTTGTCTGTTGTGTGTGTTTTAAATCCACTTAAAGTAAAAATGTGATATTAAAATAGGCTAAGCACTTTTACGTGAGCCATTAATATAAGTTATGATGATTATCCAAAGCTTCAGCAAGACATCAGAATTTATTTTATGTCCATTCTTGTATTTTGAACAGGTTTGTTGAGTCTGGAAGAGTTCAGGCTTCTGAGCAATGATGCCTTCCAGCGCTTCCTGCTGCAGCGAGGAGTGGAAAGGAGTCAGCTGGTGAGGAACAGCAGACACACCTGGCTCTACCAGGGCAAAGGAGCCCACCAGGTTCTCCAAGACATCAAGGCAAGGTTAGGAAGACGCACCGTTACTTAAGATTCATCTTTTATTTCTCTGATGCTGCCTTTTCTTGCCTTGCTGTAAATTAGCACTAGAAGGTATGCTTTTTTTTATTAAATGGCCAGTTTCAGCATGACAAGAGAGAATATTTTCCTTTTCCTAACAAAGAGTGACTCGCCTCACCCGGCTTCCGCCTACATTAGTGGACCTCAGTGAGCCACTCCAGGTGGTGTGCTATCAGGAGGGAGGGCACTACCATGCTCACCATGACAGCGGCCCTGTTTATCCTGAAACCGCTTGCACGCACACACGCCTCGCAGCCAACACCTCCACCCCTTTTGAGACATCTTGCAGGTGAGACCAGAGCTGCACAGTGTTGACTGGAATGATGAAAGGAAACGACTGAAATCTGTGAATCTTGATGTAAATCCATCCGTCCAGTGTGATTACTAAACTGTGCATTGACACCCCATTGTGACAGCTGGCATGTTAGTTTGTGTGACTCTGCCAGTTGGGAAACATTTGTGCGCTTGCCAGTTGTTTGTCAAGTGTTTGTTTGCACCATACATGTCTGTGTCAATTTAAATCTGTGTTGCACACTTAGGTACATCACAGTTCTCTTCTACCTGAACTCTGTTGATGGGGGCGGGGAGACCGCATTCCCTGTGGCAGACAACAGGACCTATGATGAAGTGGTGCGTAATTAAGTGCGGCTCTGGACGTCTGTTCGGAGAGCCCTGCAAAAGTACTGCGTGCATACTGTGCATGTTTTTGACATCACTCATTTGTGTGTCAGCATGTGCATGGGCCTGACATTAAACAAACTGTGTTGCTCAGTTTGTTTGTGTGTTTTAGTCTCTCATACAGAATGACGTGGATCTTTTGGACACAAGAAGGAACTGTGACAAGAGTAACCTGAGGGTGAAGCCTGCCAAAGGGACAGCTGTTTTCTGGTACAACTACCTTTCAGATGGAAAAGGTAGGATGACCATTAAAATTACAGTACAACTAAGCATATTTGAATGTTTATTTTAAAAGAAACATTTTAGTGGTCAACACATGGTGTGCCCGCACTGTCTTCAGAATTAAAGAAATTGTTTTACCCTTTAAGAATATACTTATTTGCTTTTTTTGCCCAGTGAGAGATGAGAGGAAACCATGCTTTTTTCTGTAGAGTTATGGCAAATATGAATATACAGACAACAGCTGGTTAACTTAGCTTAGCCCCTGTAGACAGAGGTTATGGCTCTGTCCAAAAAAATAACAAAATCCACCAATCACCCCCTCAAAAAAACTCACTTATTTTATTTAGTTTTATCTGGTTTTAATTCATCCAAAAAACATGATATAAAAACAAGGTGCAGTTTTGCTGTCATGTAATCTTCTCATCTAACTATTGCCAAGAAAGTGATTTAAACATATTTGTTTAACCAACCGCATTTAAAAATGCAATTGCAATCTCCATTTTACATATAATTTCATCAATATCCAAAATGCACACCTGTCACAATATGACTGCAATGAAAATATATAAAAGGTTATTATTATGTTTATATTTACTATGACTATATATCAGTTGAGGCAAGCATAGTGTATAATAATTTAATTTAAAGTTAATTTGTGGCTAATTTAAAATAATACTTTTCCAAACTGTTGTGTTAGATGAGAAAAAAACTACTTGTAAGTAATGTAATAATAATGTAACTGAAGTGCCCTTCAGAAAACAGAAATTATATAAAGGGCACTGCTGACCAAAGTTAAAAGAGGTTTATATCCTCAATAGGTTGGGTGGGGGAGCAGGATGAATATGCTCTGCATGGAGGCTGCATGGTCACTCGTGGCACTAAGTGGGTTGCCAATAAATGGATCAACATCGATCCAGATTACCAACGGCAGGCTCACTACCAGCAGTTGGTGTCACAGCAGCCAGAAGACGAGGACGATGGTCTGACTCTGAGCCCTGACATGCAGGGTACTGATATTCATCAAGACCTGTAGCTCATAAACCAAATTTATATGAAACTATATACAATCTACTTAGCCTTTCTCAGTCCTGTGCACAATGTTTTTGGTATGTCTGTGGCCAGCATGTAGAGGACAAGATTTATTCAGGGAATGAGGTCACAGTGAGTTTATGCAACTGTAAAGAAAGTTTTTTGTTAAATACTGTTTGGATTTTGCAATCTTGTTGTTTTTCAATCAATTATTTCAGATTTTAGGAATGTTGCACTAGAAACTCAGTGAAGGAGTTGAGACAAAAGCCTTCCTTTGCATGCACATGTTTTGCTGTTGCTAGGAGCAAAAACTGCACTTGAAAATTGAAATGGCAGCTGTTAGCATATCAATGTGCCACCTTATTCTTGCTGCCATCACCAAAAATGTAACGCATGTTGCCTTGTCTCTGTTTCTTGAATTCATTGTTGTTGTTTCTTTTCTGCCCTATTGTTCTAGATTAAAATGCACAATTGTTTGCATGTTTCATGGTATTATTTTTTTCTTAATTTCTCTAAAAATGCACTATGTCACTCCCCTACACTGAATAAACCTAAACTGTATCCTGTCAAAATTAGGTGTTAGTCTTCATTTTCATACCTTAAAGACAACATGTACAAATATCCATACAAGCAACAATAAAATGAAAGAGACAAACTGAAGTATTTCAGCATTTGTTGATAAATTCATATCTTATTATTAGCTTTGCACTTTGTCAAATACTTGCAACTAATAATTTACAAATAAAAATTTTTAATTTGTTTTATTCCCTCCAGCAGATATTGAAATAGTTGTTTTACTGGATGTCACGTTTGGATGAAATCCTTAAGGTTTTGTGCTGCTGTCCATTTCCTGAAATCAGACCATTTATTTAGAGAGTCATTTAGCTAAACTGACAGATTTCTTTATGCATCTTTCAATATGTGCAGTGGTTACATTGTGGTTGGCTTGTTCAGTGCTGACCAACTGTTAACTGTGTTTCTATACAGTGTATGTACAGGGATTAAGTCATTTATGCATTGTCTACCTTTAGTTACAATATTTGTTAAGATTCAACATTGGACTATCGAAACAAAGTGTCACCTGAGCATCTTACACACCTCTGATGGCTCGTATCTGGGGAATGATGTTGTTTCATGGTGATCCAAACAGTAGAGCACAGCATCATGAACGGAGGCAAAAAGATGTCTTTTTGTTATTGACTGGGAGAAGAAGCCACCAAGCTCGAATTGCTCCACCACGGATGCTGAAGAGAAGAGAGTTTAGAGGTCGAGTCATGACAAAAACAACAAAACCTTTTCATAAACCACAGGCTTAATGAGGTGAAGAGGTATTCACTTACCTTGACAACCAGCCATGTAGATGTCTACATCAATCTCACTGAAGTCTTGGAATATCTGCCAATATAACAAATACTGAATATTTCTTCTCATCAAAAGTCAACACTGCACCAGCCTTTAAAATACAGCGTTCGTATTTCTTCTCTATGAGGTGCTACTAACCCTAATCAACCCAATTATTCATCTCACGGTGAATTACCTGAATTAATTTAACTGTAAGAGAGTAAAACTTTAAATGAAAGTTAATAAACTCCATTTCATTGACATAGGCATGTCAAAAATAAAAACAAAATCATGTCTTGACTAAACTTGACTGTATCTTTATCCTCAACAATTTAATTGTAAGTCAGGACAAGGTGATAGCAGACCTGTATTTACCTGTTTATATAAAAACACAACTCTTACATGCAGAAAAATCTCAAGGCAGCGTGTATACATTGCATATTTTTCCTCAAATTTCTCTTACATTATTTATTAAAAGGGTTTGATACCTAAATGTTCTCAAAGTATATGGGTCTCCATCTAATCCAAGAAACTGTAGTAACATTTGAGACATTTTCAATAATAGTTTACCTTTTATTTAATGGACACTGGCACCTTTTGTACTTACATTTTTCAAAGTCTTTATAGCCACTGTGTCCACGAAGTTAGTTGTGGACAGGTCAAGAATGATGGAGTGAATGTCCCAGGTCCACTTGCCCAGAGACCCAAGAGAGACCCGCTCCAGATCCTGACTCTGTGTGTCATCGCTGCTGGAGCCCAGAGTGGTGGTATCACTGTCATGAAGTTCAGACATCGACCCTAAGCTGGTGCCATCAGGATCTCCTCCTTTCAGGTATTCCCATCTACAGTGGCAGTCTGATGTTCGGGGAGCAGTAGGAATGACAAACACCGTCCCATTCTCCCTCTCTGTCCAGCCTTGACTTTCCTTGTCTGGTACATTTCCACTGATACATGTGTCTTTCCAGCTGCTGGGCTCTAACTCCACAGAGAACACCACTGACCCAGACAGCTGTTTAGCTGCCCTCTGTGCTTGTCTCTGAGGAGAAGGGAAGAAATTATGACATATACTATTGCTTTGTAGTTACATTATGTATACATTTCCTGCATGTTACCTCTCTCTTGGCTCGCCTCTTTGCCCGTCTCTCAGCCCTCCTTTCTCTGCGTTTCTGTTTGGCTTCCTGCCTCCTCTTATAAATAAGCATTTTACTGATGTCAAGCCCACTCTGAAGATGAATGACAAATAAAAACAAAACATCATTGGCATCTAACAAAAATATATCACTAATTGTTACTTTGGAAAAGATGATAGGGTGGAAATCTTAGCCCTTAAACTGGGAAAAATTGGAGCTGAACAATTAGTCAAGTGACAGAAAATTAACCAGCAACTATTTCGCTAATTGATTAATCGTTTCAGCCATTTAATGCAGAAAAGCCAAACATTTATCTGCTTTCAGTTTCTCAAATATGACCATTTGCTTCCTTTTTGTAACATGATAACTGAATATCTTTGTATAGGATCATATGCAATTTTTTTCTGAATGTTCTGACATGTTATAGCCAAAATGATCAACTTATTGATCAAGAAGACATTTGTCAGAATACTAACTAATGAAAATTATAACTCAGTTCAGCCTAGACTAGATAGGATTATTAAGAACAAACCTTTTCTTTCAGGGCCTCAAGGTAGAGCTCAGCATTGGCAAAATATACTGTAGCTGAGGAGCGGAATATAGTAACACCTGGAATCTTTCTTGCCTGCCAATTAGAAGGACACCCTTAGTGTTTTTAGCAGGCTTAATACAAAAAGTTTCATTTATTGTTTTACATCTTTCTGTGTTACCTCCCTGTGCGTCTCTACATCCACGTACAGTTCTGTACCTGGAACATTTCCCAGAACAGAGTATGTTGGCCTGAAGAATGTAATAAAAAAAACTTTGTACATTATGGTTGTGTACAGTATTTTACATAATCTGGCAGCGTAACCCACACAGTATGAAAACTCAGATACTACAGTGAGAAATAGGCTGAGCTGCAGATAAACCTTACAACTGTGTCCTGAAGATAACGGTAAGGAGTGCAAAGGTGACTGATGCGGCCAGACCCAGATCAAGATTGAGGAGCAGTGTCGACACCCAAGTGACCAACCACACCACCTGGAGGACACAGCATAACATGACTTCTTTAGGTTGACAATAACACCATTCCCATCTCAACATCAAAATCACTGCTTTAAAGGGTATTTTGAAATTATGGAAAGTCGTAATTCAAATCTCACCAGATCAATCTTGCTGCTCCTCCACAGTGTAACAATGTCAGAGTACTGCTGGAACATACCTTTCAGATTAACAAAGACAATCACTCCAAGGACAGCCTGAAATAAGAACACCCACATTTTTACATGATAAACTGTCCATCCAGAAATGTGAAAGACTCAAAACTGAAAATCCATTACATCACACAAAATCTATCATGCCTCACAAACATGTACAAACTGTGTAACTTAGTGTGTGCAGTAATGACATGCAGTTCAATAGTGGAACCTTTGGCAGCTCCTGAAACAGTGGTCCAAGTTTCAGTATAGTCACCAAGACAATTAGAGATGAGACCACTCCAGCCATCTGAAAGAACAGCAGAAAGGTTGTTTGTGATTTTCTTAAAATACTGAACAGCAATGTTAATGTTATTAGACTGCATTGCAGAGATGGATTTATTATATTCTTGGAGAATAGTTTGACTATGTGACACCATTTAGTGGTGACCTGCTAAGTCTCGTTTCCAATCATTTATTCATTTGGCATATTGTTTGGATGGATCATAAATACATTTGGTATGTTGCTGCATAACAAATTATTGAAGCTAAAAAATAACAGTAATGTTCTAGCATCGTTCTGAATTTCCACAAGGGTTTTACATATAAGTTGGTTCAGTCAGCCTTAACAAGGTCATATTCTTTGCATATTTAGAACAGAACTGTTGCATATGGAATGTTTACAGCAAAAAATGACTGACTCTCTCTATTTGTATTGTTGTTTTTGCAGTGTTGTCATTTCTGTTTTCTCACTTGTGTTTTTCCTCCAGTGGTCTCCTGGATGAGACTTCGAGACATGGAGGAGCAGACTGAATAGCACTTAAAGAAGCCTCCAACTACATTACTGAGACCCAGAGCCACCAGCTCCTGCAGCAGTGTGGAGACAGACACAAGAATTAGCAGAGGAATATACCAAATATACAAAAAATGAGAACAGTATTCGTAGAATTTACGATATTTGATGTGAGGGTTTACCTGGTTACTGTCCACCTTGTATCCATGTTTCAGTGCAAATGTTTTTCCAAGTGAAATACCTATGGCATATCCAACGATGGCCAGTGCAAAAGCTTCACCGATAACCTCTCCAAAAAGGCTAGCATCTGGTACACTGGGGGGACTTAAACTAGCACACAGGCAGGGGACAAGCAGATAGGTTAGTACTAACCTACCTGGGAATATGAGCAAGGAAAGAATGACAGCAGTAAGACTTAAATCCAAATGCGTACCCACTAGGAATTTCTCCAACAACTGAAACAGTGTAGTTGCTCTTCAAGTGAGCATACTTTGATATCAATGTTCCTGTCACAATCTGAAATGATCACAGAAAACAGATAAACACAGATATACACAAAGAAGCCACATTTTGTACATGTCAAACCTTCACTTATTAAAAATCTAGTAAATCATATTGTAGATGTACACCTAATTATTAGCCATAAATAATTCATTTTTGCTGCGAACTGCAAAAGGGCAGAGGCCTTTACACTACTGCTGATTCAGCTGCTTGGTTCCACTGTGTCTGTGCTTTTTGAGTGTTGCAACATCAGCCTCAGCACAACGCAGAGCTAATAAAGAGATTTCAGAAAGTGTGTCCTCATGTCAACTCACTGTGATGAGCTCCACTGGGATGGGCACTGGCAGCTTTGGACTGAGGAAGGAATTGAGCTCCTTGGCTGCAATTAGGAACACCATAGACACAGCACTGACCACTAGTGTTGGAAGATGAGTGTGTGGCAGCAGGGAGCAAACATCCTTCAGAGTCTGAAAATAAAAACAGGTAAAGCAGTGAGTTTTGGCTTGGCACTGCACTTGTAAAAACAAACAGGCACAACTGTTACTTTAGGATTATTGTCATGATCGACTGCACTGTGCTCAAACAAGTAATGCACTCACATCAGTAATATTGCATTACTCACATACACAAGTGACAGCGGACCACTAAACCTTGTGGGTGACACTCCAAAAATGTTCTTCAGTTGTGCCACCACAGCATGGCCTGCAGCAGCTGTTGTGTAAGCCCGCACCAGAGGTTCAGACAAGTACGTTCCCACAAATCCAAACTTTACCAAACCCAGTACCACCTATGTAAACATCCATGAATGAATACATGAGTTTTGGCAGCTGTAACCACAAAACAGGCCATAATTATTTCTGCTGGATGCTGTGTTCAGACCTGAATAAGTCCTGCTAGGACAGTAGTAGCAGCTGCCACCTGCACCCTGTATGAATCCCGGGCAGTTATGTCCACCTCACCAGTAATGTTGGTCCCATTCATAATGAGGAAGTCCATGTCCGGAGCAAGTCTCTCTGTCACACTGCCGACCATGATGCTGAGCACAGTAAATGTACCTGAACACAGTAAAGGATAGAAACTTATTACAGAGGTTATAATGGCCATGGTATAATGTCAATGTCTTTCTCTGCTTACCAATGGAGAGATGACGTGATGTTCCAAAAGCGAAATAGATCAGTGATGGGTAGAAGGATGTGTAGAGCCCAAATACAGGTGGTAATGAAGCCAGCAATGCATACGCCATACCTGTGGAAAGTAGGAGTCTTGTTTACAAACAAACATCTACTGTATACTAGGTTTATCATTAGTGAAAAAGAAATATTCTCCATTAGGACAGTAAATATTTTTACAAAATACTGTGTATGACAAAAACGTATAAAATTAAGTCAGAACTATACATGAGGTTTTTATCATATACCCTTAAGTCATAGAATTCAGTTTTTTTCTGCACTACTGTGCAGAAAACCGATATTTATTCATTCATTTTCATACCCTGTGGTAGGTGCATTATGCCCACACTGATGCCGGCAATGAGGTCTGGCATGCCATAGTCCCACACTGAGTACTTAGGCAGCCAGTATAATACAGGGAAGCTGCTCAACACGCTTCTTTTAAGTTTGGGAATTGTACATCTGGAAGAGATTTGAAGACAAAACAGAGACAAAAGTGAAAGTCTTCATACTGGTGGAAATTTGAAAGCATGTGTTTATTAAAGATCAGACCAGACATCTACAGTGCAGTCAGCAGCAAAGTCACAAAAGTCATCAAATTTGCCTTACCTTAAGGAGTCTTTAAGCCATTCAGTAACAGAAGGGCGAATGTCAGAGTATGTTTTTCTATGTGTTACCTCTTCCAGTCTCTGCTCATCCAGCACTTCCCTTTCTACTTTGTATTTCCCAAACCTGATTGTAGAGTCCATTGGGCTGAATCTGTCAAACTCTGTGCAACTTTATTATTGTACACTTTAGTATGCAGTATAGGAGTATAAAATTTATTCTAAAGAGGCTTGTTTACAGCAAACTGTCCAGCAAATCTGTCTACAAAGAGCAGATATTCCAATACTACTGTCACACAAAGAGCTGCATCTGCATATGTACACCATATTGCCTAATGGTTAACCATAATCAGGATGTTGTGGGCAGAGCCTCTTCATAGCAGCAATGGCTGACTGGAAAAAGCAAAGGGTGTAATTATAGTCTTAAAGAAGAAAAAGATTAACTGTGTTTAATTCAGGATGTATGACAAGTGTATTTCCATCCTGACAGTTTTTCCATTCAACAGCAAAAATGAAGCTAACGAACCATGACATCACCTTAACCTTAAATTACACTGGTTAAGTCTTTATTGAGGACTACATGTACTTCAGAACAAAATACTTAAAATATACTAAAGTAAATGGAAACTCCACCAGCAGCCAATTAATATCCAACACAATGCAGGCAAATCAGGAAGTTAAATGTATTTAATACTGACAAGCTTCATTATGGTCGGTGCAACAATGTCCAGGATTTAAATGTTAAAGATCAAACTTAATAGACAAGGTCTGATTTTGGAACATGTGGACATATAATATATACTGGGTCTTTAAGAGAGTGCTGTCATGAAATATGAGTCCAAGCTATGAGCAGTGCTTCATTTCAGTCATTCCCAAGACAATTGCATGTGAGTGGGGCAAACAAACAGTAATGAAAAATTAGCCAAAATAAAGCACAACATTGTGCATCAGTTACATTATTAGCAACAAACTAATTCACAGTATTTGTCACTGTCCCTGCTTAAAAACCTACTCTCTCCTTATGACTGAAACCCTTCTGACCTGCTTGTTGTCTGCCACAACATGGTCTATTTTTGGGTTAGTAGCTCAGAGTGTGGCAGCCAGGGAGGGGGTACATATCTGTCTCTTGCTATTGCCCCAGACCTTCTCTAACCCTCCTCAACAACACATGTAGCTTGTTGAAAAACATGGCTATTTACTGGTCTTTTTAGATCAAAAACGACAGTAGACAAGAGGTGCTGATGACTTTGGCAAGACCTTTTCAAAGGGACCCGTACGCTGCATGATGCAATCAACTATAAATTGTAAGTGTGCACAATAGTGGTATTTTGCTAGTATTTGTTATTGTAATAATCAGATTACTACATTATATATAAAGCCAATAAGAAAAATGAGTTATTTAAAACAGCAGCTGTTGAAGTATGATACAAAAGTGTTCTTATAGTTTTGTTTTTACTGCAGTCAGTACAAGGATGCTTTCAGTAAAATGCCTTAACTTTTGATATTGTATTGACTACTTACTCTTTTATCCACGAGTGAAGTGGTATAGCATTAACATACCTTTCCAAATCAAAACTGTTCATACGACTAAATAGTTTTTACTGTGCACTTATAAAAATGTGGTTTGATATGATACTGATGGAGGCTCATTTTTTTCGTTTTTCAGTGACAACTTTCTCACCAGTTGTTTGTAAGTTTCCTGTGTAACTTTGTAAATATTGCAAAATGGATTTTACAGCCAAACATGGGCTGGTGCTGCTCGAGCAGCTGAGGAGGATGAGGGAGACTGGGCATCTGACAGATGTGGTACTGGTGGCTGAGGGCATCAGCTTTCCCTGTCACAGAGTTATTCTATCTGCCTTCAGCCCTTACTTCCGTGTTATGTTCACATGTGGCCTGCGTGAGTGCAACAACAGAGAAATATTCCTGCGTGACACCTCCGCAGATAGCTTGGCTCTCCTCTTGAACTACATGTACTGCTCAGATCTTCCTCTCACTAACGCCAATGTACAAGGCATTTCGATTGCAGCTTTTCTCCTGCAGATGGATGACGTCTTTGATCGCTGTCAGCAGCACATGACCGAGAACATGGATGCCTCTAACTGCCTTGGTGTGTATTACTTTGCCTGTGACCTTGGTGCAGAGGAACTGGCTGACCATGCTAAACGGTTCTTGAGGAAACATTTTGTTCAAGTCTGCCAGAATGAGGAGGTCCTGGAGCTTGAGTCCCATCAGCTGGGGAAGCTCCTGACTTCTGATGACCTTAATGTTTCCCGTGAAGAGACCATCCTGGATGTAGTCCTTCGCTGGGTGAAACACAGTGCTCTGATGGAAGGAGAATTACGAATTCGGCACCTTCCAGAGCTCCTGAAGAAGGTTCGCTTGCCACTAATAAGCCCTGACTATTTAAGAGAGGTGATGAAGAGAAATATGGCCCTGCTGGCTGATGCTGAATGTCTTGAGATGCTGAATGCAGCCTTGGAGGCCACAGCGATTCATCCCTCAGCTGCACCACACAAACTAAAGCTGCGGTACGGCATGGAGACCACAGATCTGCTGCTCTGTGTCGGAAATGACAGTGGTGGGATTAGGTCAAGATATGGCAGCTATGCCGAGCGCAGCTTTTGCTACACCCCATCCACAGGCCAAACCTACTACATCACCTCACCTCGCTATGGAAAGGCTCTGGGGTACGTGTGTGCTGGGGCTGTGACCGAAAAAAATGTCATTGTTGTGGCAGGAGAAGCAAGCACACGCAGAATGTCCCAACAGAAGGATATAAATGTTGAGATCTACAGGTAAAACAAATATAAAGTGATACACTCTAGCAGTTGCTTGCCTCACACAGATGGTACAGATTGTTGCCCTGGGTTGCAGGTATAAAGAAGAAGCCCAAGGAAGCTGGGAGCGCCTGACGTCAGCAGAGTACCGTGATTCATATGCTCTGGGATCACTGGGTGACACTCTGTACCTGCTGGGTGGACAAATGAAGCTGAAGAACCAGTTTCTTATTACTAACTGTGTGGAGCGATGGTCCCTGCAAGGCGGACCGTGGCGAAGTGCAGCACCCCTGCCTTTGCCTTTGGCCCATCACAGCGTGGTCAGGATGAAAGATTGTCTTTATGTGTTAGGAGGGCGAACCCCACAGGTAATGTGAAAACATATACACGACCAGTCAAAAGTTTGGACACATTTGCCCTTTATATTCAAGGAGAAAGTGTGCCGAAACTATTAACTGGTAGTGTGTGTATTCATTTCTTCAAAACCCGCATTCAAATAAGTTCTTTTGAAATCTGGGAACTATTAACACATTTAATAAGAGCTCTTACAGTATGAGCATGTAACTCTTGTCTGACTGCACCTGCTCCATTTTGTCATACCCTTCCTCCCCTTCAACCATCCAGTCATACCGGATGGATGATGAGCCAGACCGCCTTAATAACCGCCTTCTGGAATATGATCCAAACACAAACAAGTGGACAGAACTAAGTCCCATGAAGTACTCAAAGTACCGCTGCAGTGCTGTGGTACTCCATGGTGAAATTTATGTGATGGGTGAGATAATTAGTTCAGTTAACTTTGCTTGTAAAATAGCCAGTTCAATGTACAATCCTAGTAAGGCCCATGCTTTGCATTATTACATGAATGTCATTATTCAGCCAAATAACTGAATTGCATTAGTTTCTGTAAGAATTTATTTAAAAATGCACTATTTGGTAAAAACAAACAAACCTCTTCTGCACTTGTAGGAGGCATTGGGTGTGAAGGTGTAGATCGTGGCCAGTCACGGCATTGCCTTAGTGCTGTGGAAATCTACAACCCAGATGGAGATTACTGGAGGGATGGACCTCCTCTCCCATGTGCACAACTCTCACTACGCACCAATGCCTCTAATGCAGGAGCAGTGGGAGGCAAGATTTATGTTTGCGGATACTACAAAGGAGCAGGTAATGAAATGAAATGATATCCATATCTAATGGAAAAAGGATGTTTTTGAAAATGATTGTAATACACCTCTGTGGCTTAACTCTCAGATCGTCATGATGATATAACCAAGGATATTTTGGAGCTGGACCCATGGGAGAACAGGTGGACAGTGGTGGCTCGGTGCGCTCTGATGCATGACAACTACGACGTCTGCTTAGTGGCAAATCTCAACCCCAGGGGACTCATGTCTCCACCTGCAGACTAAGTAAAACCATGACCCTGTCCCTCTCAGATCAGACCAAAGTCTGTCTGGGAAAAGTAGGAAATTAATAATTAAATTAGTTGCACATGCACTGCTGGGCCAAAGACTTTTCAAGCAGAAAAGGTTTTGCTCTGCATTAATGAGGATCTGCAGATAATGATTTGCACACTATGAGAATACATAGGTCATTTGCAAATAGTTTTTTTGTTTTGTTTTTTTAAATACTGTATAAGAACCTGCACAGAGTCATCGCATTAATCCTGCAGCTGAATGGCACAAAGCTGAAATTGTATGATCAGCAACACCATGAAATTATTTCCTTTGACATTACACAGAGTACTGTGTGGCTTTGATGCAAATCATACCAAAATACTGGTATTTGGTTTATTACAGGAAAAATTAGTCATAATGACTTAAGGACTACACTAAATTGACACTTAGAACATAAAGTATATTGTAAATAAAAAATATTTTAAATTGTACAAATTTTTGTGGCATGTTTGCTAAAGTAGAATACAAGTGTTTGTGTGCTAATAAATATGCACCATTATGGAGCATGATTTTTGTAGTTTGAACACAGATGCATTGAATTGACACCTGAAATGTACACTAAGCTGCCAGGAATCTAGGCACACATGGTTAAACACTAATGCATCAACTCAGTAGTAAATCCTTCCCAAAGGTTATAATGTTCAGATTTTCTACTTTATGACCATTGTGAATTTTGCAGTTTGTGGTGCTGCTAAACTGTACTATGTTTTACTGAGAGGTGTTTCTGGAATGCATTGATTTTGTGGTGTGGACAAATATTTAAAACTACTTACAGAGAAAGAAACAAGGTAATTAGGAAAGGTTGTCTGCCTGAAAAAATTATATTATAACACAATGCATCTTTACAGGGTCAAAATTCAAAAAATGGATCACAGATATTATAGGAAAATGTCAGACAGCAGTAATGATAAATACATTTTGTTCGCAATAATTATTTCAGAAAATTGTGATTTGGTTGCAAAGCCTTTCAGTTTATTTCCAATATGGGTCAGCAGCATTAATACTGAGTAGGTTAATTTTAAAGTCAGCAGAGATGCTTAACGGTCACAATGCCTTTTATAACAGCAGAATAAAAACTATAAAAAAAAATATTTAAAACTTTTAATGTGTAATACTCTAACTTAACTTACTTGTCATTAGTACCTTTTTACACCCATGCAGATAAAAAAAATGAGATTATCAGTGAGTTCTTCTGTCAACAAAGTGAACAACAACAATTAAGAGACTATAGTCCACAAATAATTATAAATATAATAATTAAACATTTTGGGGTTTGCCTCAATACACAAAATGTAAAAAAACAAATTCACTGAGTACTTTACTCATCTTCTAAAAGGCCTAAATCAGAATTGCACTTTATGTCAAACAACTGCCAGAGGCCACCGGGTTTCACCGGGGTCTTCATCTTGGACTCCGCTGAGATGGGTTTGATTTCTTCAAGGCAATCCGAGCTGTTGCTGTCCTGAGACCAGCAGCCGTGAGGGGTGATGACACACCCCGCAGTTTCATTGGACCTTGTCTCCCTTTTCAGTGGAATCACACAGTCTGGGTTGAGACTGCCACAGCTGACTACCTTGTGCTCATGAATAGGTTTTGAAACTTTCTGCTTTTTGTCACAGTTCATGCAAGGTTGACAGTTTTCATCTGAAACAGTGTGCCTTCTTTTCTGTGAGGGCACCAGTGGTCTGTTTTTGCCCCTCCTATGGCCTCTCTGAGTGAACTTCCTCTTTCCTACAATGCGTCTGGAAGCTTGAGGATGAGCTTCACCCTGAACATGTACAAGGCTGTATGATGGAGATACAGACTGTGCATCTTTAAGCTTATTATCAGGCACGATGTTGGAGAGTGATTGTTCCAGCTCTGGTGATGTCTGGATGGCACTATCCATTACTCTCTCAGGACTGGGTTTGATTGAAGGCACTGAGACAAGAGTGCTGAGCATCTTTATGGCCTCTTGAAGCAGGTTTCTTTCCCTCTCCTGCTCCTCTCTCAGACTATTCTTTAAGCTTTGCAGGTTTGAACCAAGTTCTGCTGTACCATCACCACTCTTGAGGAAAAAAAACTTATTTCACAAATCAAATATCTACCAGCAAACAAAATCTTATGTCACTGAAAACATAGCTGCCTACATCATAAACTGCATACTATTCACCTTTTGCACCCTCTTCTCCAGCTCTGTCAACACCTCTTTCTGAGAGTTAATTTTACTCAGCAAAGTCTCGAACTGCTGGGACATGTCACTCTGAAGACTGTTCAAATTATTTTGCACTGAGATGAATGAATAAAAAGAAAAATAAATTAACAAAAAAAGTAATTAAATCTTTCATCTTACTGCACTGTAGTCAATAAAATGTAAAAATTCTGGAACCAAACAGTAATCTTCTGCATTTAAAGACATCGCTCATGACTAATATTTAATCACAAGAGCACCATCTACTGGTAATAAAAACTGCTTGCTCATTGTCTTTTAGAGGAATAAATTAACCACATCAACAGTATGCAGAAACCAACTTTCAGTCCACTAATCTGAATGAATAAATCCATAGCGATCCATTAGGAAACTTACATGTTGATGCAAAAATGTCAAATTTCTCAGCGACTGTTTGGCACACAATCATATTTTTCTCACTGCCAGCAAGCAGTTGTTGGATCTGAAAAACACTGCAGTGTTTTAAAACTAGAAAATACAAAGTATAATAAAAAAAACTGAATGGATGTTACACTTACATCATTGAGAGAATTTCTGATATGCTGATATTCTTTGGCTAAAAGATCACTGTTAAAGCAAAAGGTGTAACTGTGAAAACATGACAGGTGATTATGCCAATGTTTTAAAATCACCCCACAAGTGTGAATTCACTCAGAGTTCCTTGTTTCAAGTGATATACATGTACCTGTCAGTTTTTTCTTTTGCCTTTTTCCTGTCCTCTTCAAATTTATCAAGTATCCCAAAAGCTCTGGCTTTGTCCTTCAAGTTTCCAAACAGGAGAGGTTTAGTGTGATAACTGCTTACAAACTTTGGGTCACTTGCCTAAAGAGTGGCAAAACACAGAGGTTAAGACATATAAAACAAACACAAGTACAGTACTGTATTTTCATATAATCAGAGATGATAAAAAAACAGGTTACTTTTTTAAAATCAAGTCTTACTGGTTTCATGCAAACAAACAAGAAGGTTATGCAACATGAAATTATCAATAATGAGATGTCATCTTTTCATACAACAATATTCTTCCATAAAGCACACCAGCTTAGTGATTTGCAACACAATAGCCCAACACAATGAGAGATATTACATTCTGTATTGATAATAGACTTAATAAAGGAACAAAAGCACAAAAATTGTAGCCCCATAAATGATAGAACTTTTAACAAACATTCAAATTTCTAGAGCATTATCTGTCTCGTTAGACCTGTTATTTAGGTCACTTATTTAACTTACATGCAAATAGCAATGCCATTAAACCAGTGGGGCTTAACCATGTATTGGGATAGTAGAAGATGTTACTAACTGACCAAGAACCACTTACTAGATGAACATAGTAAATCTCACCTCTTGTGAACTATGTTGGGAGTTCCTGGATGACACACTCATATCTTGAGACATGCCCTGAGAATTTTCAAGCCAAAACTGAGACCCGAAAAATAATTGAGAGTCTGTGAAACCGGAGTAGCTGCTGGTAGCCACATTTCTGTTGAAGAATGTTTTGACCCCACCAGTTTTGATGAGTACCATTAAAGAAAACATAAAACATAAATAAAAAATATAGTTTGTACAGGATAACAGAGCAATTGTTTGTTGAATTTTGCTAAGTAAGCAAAGGTCATGATAATGTAATTACAGTTTCACATTTAAAAATGAAAACAACCTAATATATTTTCATATTAAAAAGAAGTAACAGTTTAGCTAACCACCTGCTAACAGCTGGGATGCTCAGCATTTCTTTTATGTTCTTCGCATGATTCATTGCTTCTGGTTACCTGTTTGTAAAGATAACAACACTGTCACGGCAGCATTAGCTAGCCATGTTCTCTTAGCATCAGCACAGCAGCTGACAAATGTGTTTGCGTCTCGCGACTTAACGCTGGGTTAGTTAGCATTAATCTAGAAAATGCTTCCTTAGCTAAATTACGCTAACTTCTTCTTCTGTTGTTTAATGGCGGCTGGCGAACAGCTTTACACTAACTTTAACTAATTGACACAATCAATTTAAACATTACCATAAACTGTTAACTTAGCAGTATTATCAACATCTACCACATGCTAAAGATCTTCAATGTGGTAGAGGTACCTAATCACAAAACACATTTAAACGGACTCACAGATCACAAGAGACTGTGGCGAAGATGGGGCAGTTAAAACTGCTGGTATGCGCACGAGTCTTTAAATATCCCGCCACATGGCCTACCAACGCGAAGCCAGGCTGCATTCGGGTACCGTCGAAAAAGTCGAAACGGCGACAAGGTAGGACCAAACAAACGTCGACTGTGTCGTTTGTTTTAGAGTGAGAGTTTCTTTTTCGGTGTTATTTATTTAGATGTGGGGACTTTACATTGTAAAGTACACAATATCCAGTGCGTTTTCTCTTCTTGTAGCAAAGTTGGCATGCTGGTGGAATTTCGGCAAAACGGTATTTGCGTGACTGGAAGGCCAAGATCTTCAAACTAGTGCTAGAGGTTTCCAGTTAATTTAGTTGATGTTGAAGATGTCAATCTTTGAACTTTCTCATTCAGTTTATGGAAAATATCCTGACTATGGGTATGATTTTTGAGGCTGTGACAACTTTTTAACAGTGGCGTCACTTCAGCCATCACCTCATCTTTTCTTTGCTGGTACCTTGTGCCAGCCATTTCCTTCCCTTGTTATACCCCAGTTCTTTTACTGGACAGATCTGAGAAAGGAAGGAGTCCGACTTTCTTGATTTTAGTGCTGGTTAATTTACAAATACATACATACATACATACATACAGTGCCTTGCAAAAGTATTCGGCCCCCTTGAACTTTGCGACCTTTTGCCACATTTCAGGCTTCAAACATAAAGATATAAAACTGTAATTTTTTGTGAAGAATCAACAACAAGTGGGACACAATCATGAAGTGGAACGAAATTTATTGGATATTTCAAACGTTTTTAACAAATAAAAAACTGAAAAATTGGGCGTGCAAAATTATTCAACCCCCTTAAGTTAATACGTTGTAGCGCCACCTTTTGCTGCGATTACAGCTGTAAATCGCTTGGGGTATGTCTCTATCAGTTTTGCACATCGAGAGACTGAAATTTTTGCCCATGCCTCCTTGCAAAACAGCTCGAGCTCAGTGAGGTTGGATGGAGAGCGTTTGTGAACAGCAGTTGTCAGTTCTTTCCACAGATTCTCGATTGGATTCAGGTCTGGACTTTGACTTGGCCATTCTAACACCTGGATATGTTTATTTGTGAACCATTCCATTGTAGATTTTGCTTTATGTTTTGGATCATTGTCTTGTTGGAAGACAAATCTCCGTCCCAGTCTCAGGTCTTTTGCAGACTCCATCAGGTTTCCTTCCAGAATGGTCCTGTATTTGGCTCCATCCATCTTCCCATCAATTTGAACCATCTTCCCTGTCCCTGCTGAAGAAAAGCAGCCCCAAACCATGATGCTGCCACCACCATGTTTGACAGTGGGGATGGTGTGTTCAGGGTGATGAGCTGTGTTGCTTTTACGCCAAACATAACGTTTTGCATTGTTGCCAAAAAGTTCGATTTTGGTTTCATCTGACCAGAGCACCTTCTTCCACATGTTTGGTGTGTCTCCCAGGTGGCTTGTGGCAAACTTTAAACAACACTTTTTATGGATATCTTTAAGAAATGGCTTTCTTCTTGCCACTCTTCCATAAAGGCCAGATTTGTGCAGTATACGACTGATTGTTGTCCTATGGACAGAGTCTCCCACCTCAGCTGTAGATCTCTGCAGTTCATCCAGAGTGATCATGGGCCTCTTGGCTGCATCTCTGATCAGTCTTCTCCTTGTATGAGCTGAAAGTTTAGAGGGACGGCCAGGTCTTGGTAGATTTGCAGTGGTCTGATACTCCTTCCATTTCAATATTATCACTTGCACAGTGCTCCTTGGGATGTTTAAAGCTTGGAAAATCTTTTTGTATCCAAATCCAGCTTTAAACTTCTCCACAACAGTATCTCAGACCTGCCTGGTGTGTTCCTTGTTCTTCATGATGCTCTCTGCGCTTTAAACGGACCTCTGAGACTATCACAGTGCAGGTGCATTTATACGGAGACTTGATTACACACAGGTGGATTCTATTTATCATCATTAGTCATTTAGGTCAACATTGGATCATTCAGAGATCCTCACTGAACTTCTGGAGAGAGTTTGCTGCACTGAAAGTAAAGGGGCTGAATAATTTTGCACGCCCAATTATTCAGTTTTTTATTTGTTAAAAAAGTTTGAAATATCCAATAAATTTCGTTCCACTTCATGATTGTGTCCCACTTGTTGTTGATTCTTCACAAAAAATTACAGTTTTATATCTTTATGTTTGAAGCCTGAAATGTGGCAAAAGGTCGCAAAGTTCAAGGGGGCCGAATACTTTCGCAAGGCACTGTAAAAATTACTGCAGGTAGTGCAATGTAGGCCTAACTTCACAAAGGTTTATTCAGCTACTGTACAATGCTGACAAAATACTAAAGTACAGCTAAAGCTTATATATGTAAGGCTCCTGACAAAGGATCTCCCAGTTCTCCCAGGTCATTTTTCACAGAAACACCTTTTTATATTACAGTCCACACCAACAACACAGTAGTTTTGGAAAATAACTAAGTACATTTACT